TATCCATTTCAAATTAAAAGCCCTGGGGTGTTTCAGTTTATATAATTGATATATTCTTATAATTCTCATTATGTTCGATCCTCAACAGGCCTTGGTTTCACATACTAAGACCAGAGAGAATATTATAACTTTCAATGCCTACTTTTTCCAGCTGGTCTGGTGACTTTAATTGGCAATCCTTCCGTCACAAGCCTGACTGTCTCTAGCTTGAGCCAACCAGCAGTCCGTCAGTCAGACTGGGTGGTGTCTCTCCAGATGAGTTCTAGAGCGTTGTGGCTGTCACTGATCTTACTGACTTATTTCAGACCTTTGGGGATTGGAGGTTGTTCATACTGAGGGTTAAAGATATTTTGGGGACTGGGATGGGTGTGGCAGTGCATACAGATGACACTGTTGCCTCAAATGCACCTCCCCATCGCCTATACAGAAGGGATTGTTCTATTTCTGTGTTTAATTTCAAATCAGATGCTAGCCACACTTGACTTTTCAATAACGGACAATAAAATCATAGCATGAAATTAATGAATAAAATGGCCTTGTAGAAGTACACAACCCTTTTCTGTAAGATACAAAGGTAAAGCGGGATTAACTGAAAACTGAAATAATAAGGGCATGTTCGACATAAATCCACCTAAAGAACATGTAAATGGTAGCTTCATCTGAAATGCACACACAAAGTAGACAAAAGGTTTTCCAACTAAATCGCACCAATCTTTAGGCCATAATAAAAACTGTCTGTGCTGTCCACATTTGCCCAGGCAGACTGTCTGTTTCAGACATGAAATGGCAAAAAGTCTCATCTGGGCTAAATTTAACACACAGAAACTTACCTTCTGGCAGGACACAGAGAAGGTTTCGGCGTACATTTAATTCTCGCAAAGCTTTGAGTCTGCCGATATGACGAGGAAGAGCTGTGATCTCATTGCAGCTGATGTCCTGCAGAGGGCAAAACAACAACACACAACAAGTTAACAGTTGTCAAAGAGTCTGGATGCATATTATTATACATTAAAATATGATTCAAGTAAAAATTACATTGAAGTTTAGGAGAGCCTGATTAAACACAACACTTCCTTGAATACCTCTGGCTTCACAGAGAACAGTGTTAAATAACAGCAGTCAGCAGCTCCCCTCCCTGACAACACACCGCTGAGTTCAAGTATTGAATTACTTGAATGTTTGCAGAAGACAATATGCTGGTAGCTTTCTTGAATTCATTTCATCTGATGCTAGTGGTGTGATATGGCTAAAACATTCTATTACAGTGTATGTAATTTTATAATTTATATTATATATCATGGTATAGTACATTTTCGGTTAATCTATGAATTCAATACTGCCATAAACAGTTTACACATTCGACATGGGCAGTCAGTTACATTATGCGTATTTAAATGTCAGAAAATGCTTTGGGACACTTCTGAAATGGGCAACATATGGACGAGCTTGATACGTGATGCCTTTTGAGTTTTTGGCCTCAGACAGGGCCTGTCAGTTAGCATATGCAGCAAGGCTGACGGCTGCTTTATAATGTGATTGATAGTTTCTCGGTGCTTCAGTTTCAGCATCCTACAGAACTGCAGTAACCAAATGTTTAATGAGATTAGCAACGTTTAACCTACTAGTCGACTTATCCTGCACATCCCTAGTGCTAAGCATCACAACATATGGCAAGAAAATCTGTTTGTACACTTAATTTGGAAGCAGACTTTAACAATCTGTATTCAGAAACACAGGAGCCTGCTACCTGTAAACTCAAGTAAGCTACTGTATACAAGTTAGCAGTGGTTGAAAGTAATCAACTAACTAACTTTACACTAGTACTGTACTTAAAGGTCCAGTGTATAACACCGAAGAGGATCAACTGGCAGAAATGAAACATAATATTTATAGGTATGTTTTCATTAGTGTATAATCACCTAAAACCAAGACAGAATCCACCAAGACTGTCATGTTTCTACAGTAACCCAGAGGGGACAAACCAAACACTGGCTCTAGATAGGGCCTTTTGCGCGTTCAGTGGGTTGCAGTCTGCAACATCCCTGCTATATGCCACTGATTCCTACACACTGATCCTTTAAGTAAAATGCAGGGCTGAATGCATGACTTGTAACAGAGTATTTTTACAGTGCGATATTGCTAAATTCACTTAAGTAATACTTCCTTCCACCACTGCAAGTAATAAAACCTATGTAATACTATCTGACACACACAAATAGTAATGTTATTACTAATCCCTGCGTGTGACTGACACACCACCTGCAGTAAGAAAGTAACACAGTGCCACAGTGAAAGACTCAGTAATAACAGTCCTACCAGCTCCATGAGGCTGTGCAGCTGTCCGATGGTCTCTGGCAGGCTGACCAGCTTGTTGTTACTGGCGTTGAGGACTCTCAGAGGTAAACCGCACAGACAGGCCGGCAGAGAGCCCAGCTGGTTCCGACTGCAACACAAGCATCACTGACTCATTCATATGGAGGACTAAAGCAATACACTATCATCATGTGACATTAGTAATCGTTCAGGTGCCATATAAAATAATTTCAAAACAATTTCAAAGCCACTTCTTTTCACTTACTCGTTATCAGGTTAATTTGGGATTTACTGTTGAGGTAACTGCAGTATATATTGCTGTTCTTCAACTCGTCATTGTTCCTTTTTAAAGTTGGTTAAAGTTGGTTGTTCTTGTTCAGGCCCGGTAGATTCTTACAAATACCACTAGGAGGAGCCAGAGGAACCTGATTGCTTCACAGATTATCTGTCTAATGTTCTTGTCAGAATATAGTGAAAGTTTCAGTTTCATATAAAAAAAAGTTTTTATAACTTAATATTAATATATATTAATATAAATTAGGGGGGTTCACTAAAAAATGTAATATCGGGAATTATCGGTATCGGGTTTTTATAACCGATGTTTGTTCTGTAGGCTTCAGCATTTCCGAGCCTGCATGAACGCAGCATGGGACGTTTACCGG